AGGCAGAGAGTCACACAGACAGGCAGTCACACACACACAGGCCATTTGTTCCTAGCATGTTCTGGCCCCTTGTTCCTGGATTCTTCCGACCCTTTTGTTTCTGGGATCCTCTGACCCTGTGTCCCTGGCATTCTCTGACCCCTAGTTCCTGGCATCCTCTGATCCCTTGTTCCTGGTATCCTCTGACCCTTCGTTTCTGGCTTCCTCTGACCCTTGTTCCTGGCTTCCTCTGACCCCTAGTTCCTGGCATCCTCTGACCCTTTGTTCCTGCCATTCTCTGACCCCTAGATCCTGGCATCCTCTGTCCCTTTGTTCCTGGCATCCTCTGACCCCTTGTTCCTGGCATGTTCTGGCCCATTGTTCCTGGATTCTTCTGACCCTTTGTTCCTGAGATCCTCTGACCTTGTGTCCCTGGCATTATCTGACCCCTAGTTCTGGGCATCCTCTGACCCTGTGTCCCTGGCAACCTCTGACCCTGTGTCCCTGGCATCCTCTGACCCTGTGTCCCTGGCATCCTCTGATCCCTTGTTCCTGGCATCCTCTGACCCTTGGTTCCTGGCATCTTCTCACTCTTTGTTCCTGGCATCATCTGACCCCTTTTTCCTGGCATCCTTTGACCCCTTGTTCCTTGCATTCTCTGACCCCTTGTTCCTGGCATCCTCTGACCCCTTGTTCTTGGCATCCTCTGACCCCTTGTTCTTGGCATCCTCTGACCCCTTGTTCCTGGCATTTTCTGACTCATTGTTCCTGACATCCTCTGACGCCTTGTTCCAGGCATCCTCTGACCCCTTGTTCCTGGCATCCTCTGACCCCTTGTCCCTGGCATACTCTGACCCCTAGTTCCTGGCGTCCTCTGACCCCTTGTTCCTGGCGTCCTCTGGCCCCTTTTTCCTGGCAATCTCTGACCCCTTTTTCTTGACATCCTCTGACCTCTTGTTCCTTTGTTCCTGGCATTCTCTGACCCCTTGTTCCCTTGTTCCTGGCATCCTCTGACCCCTTGTTCCTGGCATTCTCTGCTACCTTGTTCAAGGCATCCACTGACCCCTTGTTCCCTTGCTCCTGGCATTCTCTGACCCAATTGTTCTTGGCAAGGCTTCTGCAATGGTAGTGTCTCTATGTGGGTGGGCTAGGGATGAAGTGTGTGTCTGTGTGTGTGCTGGTGATGTAGTGTGTCTGTGTGTTTGCTGGGGATGTAGTATGTGTCTGTGTGTGTGCTGGTGATGTAGTGTGTGTCTGTGTTTATGCCGGGGATGTGGCTTGTGTCTGGTGGGCACTGCAGCTAATACACTTACCTATACACTGTGTCTGTGTATATGTATGTGTGTCAGTGTTTGTATCTGTTTGTCTATGTATCTGCATGTATGGCAGTGTGTGTGTGTGTCTGTATATCTGCATGTGTGTCAGTGTGTCTGTGCAACTGTATGTGTGTCAGTATATGTATCAAAACTGACACACATGCAGATACTGACACACACACAGATGTACAGATACACTGATACGCCTGCAGATACACAGACATACAGATACACATTACACACATACAGTATACACAAACAACACACTACATGCATACAGACAGACACACACACTACACATACACAGATACACACCACACTCACAAACACACACACAATACACACTACACATACACAGAGACAAGCATACAAACACACACTACAAACATTACACACATACAAACACACAGATATTCACACTACATACAGATACACACACTACACAGATACAAATACAGACACACACACTACACACAGATACACACACTACACAAACACACACATTACACTCATGCAAACTACACACACTACACATACAAAGATACACACATACAAACGCACACATACACACACTACACACATACAGATACACACACTGCATACAGATACACGCACATTACAAATATACAAACAGATACACACACACACAAACACACATTAAGCCAGCCAGCAAGTTCTTACCTTCTGCTGGCTGTGGCTGGTGGGAGTTGGGGGCCTGCTCTCCCTATCCAGCCCCATCCTCGCGGCTTCCTCCTCCTCCCTCGCGGCTGTGTAAGTGAGCTGGGAGGAAGTGATACCCTGTCTCTTCTTCCCAGCTCTCTGTGCATGATAGAAGGGGCTCTGTCACGCTGTTAAAGCGCCACAGCGCACAACCAGGCCCCTCATTGCATATGTCCATTGGGTGGCCCTAAGAGACGCACCGCCACCAAGGGTAGGTAAATCCTGTTTTAGATTATGACAGGGGCGGCAAAATGCCGACCCTGTCAGAGTGCCGCCTGGAGCCATGGCTCTAGCGCGGTCTATGGACGGGCCAGCCCTGGTTCCTTGCATCCTCTGACCCCTAGTTCCTGGCATACTCTGAGCCACATTTAGCCAAAACACAGAAACTACATCACATTTTCCATTATGTTTCACACATGCATTTAAACCAAGCTTCTGTCATAGACTTATCTATAACTGGTGCCCGCGCCACTCCCCTTCTCGGGCTGCATGGGCAGAATGTCCCACATGGCCTTGTGGCCGGAATAGGAATATTGCTCACCTTTGGTCCCGTGAACAGCTCACTCTGCTGGTTCACTGGCCAAACTACAGCAGCTTAAAAAAATTGTATATCATGACGCCATGCCTTAAAGGCACCACGTCATCTCAGCGACCCATGCTGTTTGGAGTCGCAGATATGACGTAGACCAATGAGAATTCATGTGAACCTGTTTAAAGCCTGTTCTGGCCCTTACTTGCCCTATCATGGTTTGTGTTCTGATACAGTTAGTGCTCATAGTAAGTCTCTCTTGTTATATCCTAATATTGACCTCGGCTTGTATTTTACTTTGTGTAATTCTGGTATCCTGACACGGCTTGTTATTCCATTTATCCGAACGTCTATATCCTTGACCTTGACTATTCCTTACTCTGTCTTTATATCCGACAACTCTAAGGCCCGGTTATATGTCTATCTAGTACCGCTGCTTGTGGGAGTCACCATTCCTGTAACTTGGGGCATGACCCCCGTGACAACTTTCCATTTGAATAATGAAATTGGTCAGAATTTGATCTCAGCCTTGGAAGCAAAGTATCACTTTTTGAAAATGCAACATACAGCAGATACCTTAACAGTTCCTTCATGATGTGTAGCTCAGTTGGCGTTTTAACGAGTGCTCTTCCATTGACCGGTTCCTGTTAAACACGGAGGGAATGAAATGGTAGGAATACATTTATCGGTGAATATATTGGTGCACCATCAGCAGCAGTGGACATGCTGACTCTTGTTTGGACTTTCCAATTGTTCTTGGCCTCCACACTAAGAGCCGCAATCGCATGTGGGGCTTAAAATGCTCAAAGCTCCATGGGAATCAGGAACAGCGTAACTGCCTGTGACAGAATAACAGCAGCAAAACATTTACTGAAGGTTTTTACAGCTTGTTTAGCCCTATTATTATTATTTTTTTTTTAAATGCAGTGAAATTTCTCTGCACAGTGTTTTTATAAAGCGCCAAGAGCAACAGTTCTTCTCTCCTCGCGGTTGAATTTGCAGTAGCTTGATATTACCGGCGTAGAGAAGTTAATGAAGGACTTATTTTAAGGTACATCGAACAAGAGAAGAAATAAATAGAAACTAAGCATGAAACGTGCATGTTGCGCTTTTTATTACGCTTTATAATAGAGATTAAAATAGTGGCCGCAAAACGCCAAGGAGCCCGGTTTTCTGATCTGCCAATAATACAGCATTTCGACTCTAGCGTTGGTAAGTGGGGAACATTTTGGAAGACCTGCTGTGAAAATCACTTTGTTTATTTTTTTTACATTGGCTTATTATTATTATTATTATTTTTTTTGTAGAATGGGTTTATTATATAAAGATGAATAGAGGAGCGGAGGTCGTGGAGCTAATTCCAGGATTACGTCATTTTGCAGTAGGTATCTTTTTAAACTTTGCAACCATGTTACCCTGAAAAGAAAAATATGCACAAAAAATATATATATAAATCTTTGAGAGAGAAATGCACCATATAATTCCTATTTATGTCTCTTCCCGCAGACTAAAAATACAATCACTTGAATCACAGCCAGTGTCATTTCTATGGCCTCTCTTGTCTCTCAATCCTGTAATTAACCAGTCCTTCTGGGGGTTGGGATTCTTAGCGAGGCATTGGAAAAATTCCAAATACTTCAGTCTCTTCCACTGCTATCACAAGGGGACTTGATCCCTCCCCTCCCCATGATCTCGCTATGCACCCTGCGGCCTGCCAAGCATACGCATCCACAAATAATGGCTAATTATGTTAGTCTGTCTGGGCTTCTGTCCTCCCGATAAGATCATTCATTAATTCCGATTTCTCCTCCCGGAGACAGTGCAAGTTGACATTATTTTAGCACTTTCAACACTGTACATTCTGGCGTGTGACATTTCCGTCATTACACTCTTAATGATGCCCTACAACTGAAGGACGTTTCATTAACAATGAGAGACAAAAAAAACATCAGCCCACGTCCCAGCAATAAAAATCTGGAATGATAAGTGCGCCTTTGGATTTGTGTTGTAACGAGCAGGTAGCTTCATGATACACTGTAATCTGTGTTGTAGAAGAATTACATGTTGACACTTGCAGGAAAAACTAACGTACTGACGTATAAAGAGATGATTAGTGTGGCTGTGCACCTCTCCAATATGCTGCACTAACTGAAGAGAGTCATCTTGTCTGGTTACTAGAGAATATAGTAGTTTAGCTTTATTCTGCAGTTATGAACAAAAGATTATAATTCGCAAAATAAACACGGGTCAAGTCTTAACCAGACCATCTAGAGATCAAGGATCCAAAGACCCAAATTTGTGGAAACATTGTTACGTTCGTCGTAAGGATGGATACAAATCAGTCAGTCCTATGATGATGAATAACAGAGGTAGCTTGTTGGTTTGGAACCATTGCTTACAACAGTAGATTTAAAAGGAGAGTCAACTTATCTCAAGACTTATTTTGCTTCTGGTGAAATATATTTGCAATCATGCTCGTGATTAGCAGAAAGTATTTCATCCTACATTCTGGAGAAGCTGCGTTAAACCTTAAACAGTCCAATTAGTGGATAAGAGGTGCTATGGACAAGACACGTGGATCGTAAATTATGAATGCAAAATCTTGGATGCCTAATTTTTGGATAAAGAGCATGGGATTGCTTTTTTGGATAAAGAGCATGAGTAACAGGTTAAATTAACAGAGATCGGCCATCAGTTACACTAACCAGACCACAAGCCAAAAGAAAGCCCAGGATTGTGCTCCCTAGAGTCAGGGGGAGCCTTCGTTTGTGGTCGTGTGAGAACCTCCGAAAAATGACTGCTCGTTGCCTTGTTTTCCATGGAACTGTTTTGGGGCATCACCTAGTGGCCGGAAGGTCAAAACTTCATTCGAATGCCGCTCCCGAACCACCGAAGGGATCTGAGCGCTATTTTGACAAAGTGGGTGCTCAGACCAAAGCTATACGGTGATATGACTTTCATGGGGTTCCCATATTATTAAAATGTATTTTTATGAAAATTTGTATATGTTTCCTTTATCTGAGAGATAATTGAGTTATAGTTTTCTCATTCAATTATCTCTCAGAAACAGAGACTCTTGGGAGCTAATCCCTTGTGATTTTGATGTGGAGACCCCATGCCAGGGGTCAGTGCATAAAACCCGTGTGTGGCCAGAATAAAGTCAGTTGACTCCCAGAACTATGTGTCTATGTAACATACTATGCAACAAACTATGTGAGGGGAAAGGATCTTGGATTATTACAGTGCTGCTTTTAACTACGAGGAAGGAATAGTGGATATACCTATGCTGGGTATTGGAGCTCTGCTACAACCATCACCTGTGAAATCTATATATTATATTCACTGCAAGAGTAAGGCGATGCACATGATCTGTGAGTCTAATGTGCAAATAAAGACCATCTGTTTGCATTAGCCCCCCCATCCCTCCATAACTGAAGTTACCAGGCTTGAGGAACTGTTAGGTTGGCCCACTTAACACAGTAACATAGTAACATAGTAACAGTTACATAGTAATCTAGGTGGCATCGAAAAAGTTTTAAATCCATCGAGATCAGCCTGTAATAAATGTTATCGTCCGACAAAAACGGCCCTTAACGACCATGGACAATTAAACCCAGTACAATTAAAGCATTTTATAATATATTATAAATATATAATGCATATATATGAATTCACTATAAGTGTATTTTGATATATATACTCATATATCTCAAAATACACTTATAATGAAATCATAAATATGCATTATATATAAAATATATATTATATAATATATAAAATATATATTATATAATATATAAAATATATATTATAAAATGCTTTAATTATAATATATTGTACATATATACAAAATAAAAAAAACGTGTAAATATATATATTTACACACACACACACCTATTATATACACATGTATTATATATATATGTGTGTGTGTGTGTGTGTATATATATATATATATATATATATATTTGTATATGTCTGCCAGTAATATTATGCACTCTGAATAAGTTACTCTAACTGTTCCACTATAGTTGAAAATGTTATAATGTCTCTGGTGCGTCTATTTATTATTGCTCTCTGGCTATTTAACTTTTAATTCTTAATTCCCTTATTTGAACTCTTATTTTCTACATGTTATATGCAGCTTCCCCATTAGTGGGACGCCATCTGAAAGCCGATTTTGGCCATTTTCATCTATTCAATACCATTCTAGGTGGGCTGCTTTACTATGACCCTCGGATTTCCTATTCTGTGCGCGCATGTGCAATGAGACCGATTTTGTTCTCTCTTCCTCTTGAACTTGTAAACAGTTTCCACTTTTAGTGGGACACTATAAAAATTCCGGCATTTTGTGGTATGATCGCTATTTGGACTGCTGAATTATTACTCTTGGAACCCTTTCCCTGTGGGCACATGAGACCTACTGTCCCCCCACCGGCCCCCACCCTTGAGCGGTGGGTGGGGGCCATAAAAATAATAAGGGGGGGGAACCTACTGTCCTCCCCCACCGGCCCCCACCTCTGGGCAGCGGCTGGGGGCCATAAAGATAATAAGCGGGGGACCTACTGTCCCCCCCTCCTGGCCCCCACCCCTGGGCAGCGGGTGGGGGCCCTAAGACAAATCCCCCCCCATCAAAGGTGATTAGGGGTCCCCAAGCCCCTAGTCACCCACCCCCCCATCCAAATAAAAAGTTACCCCCTACCTACTCCCCTCATCCTAAAAAATATTGAGGGGGGAATAAAATAACTAACCTGTAAAGAAAAATTAAACTTAACATTCGATGTCTTCTTTTTTCTAAAAACCATCATACCCGTCAAACTTAAAATAAAATAAAAAACCCGAGCGCAAAAAAAAACCTGCCGAAAAATAAAAAAACCTGAAAAAAATTTTCTGATGTGTACTGTGGTCATCAGTGATGTCCCGAACGGTTCGCCGCGGACTCATCATTGATTAAACTTTGACCCTGTACCTCACAGTCAGCAGACACATTCCAGCCAATCAGCAACAGACCCACCTCCTGGACAGCTCACTAAGAATGCAACTTCACAATGAATGTAAAACGGATGCTGTCCAGGAGTTGGGAAGGTCTGCTGCTGATTGGCTGGAATGTGTCTGCTGACTGTGAGGTACAGGGTCAAAGTTTACTCAATGATGAGTCCGCGGCGTACCGTTTGCGAACCGTTCGCGAACCGTTCGGGACATCACTAGTGGTCATTGCTGCCGCCCAGGAGTGATGGGAGTGAGCGCAGGACTTTTCTTTTTGTATTTGTATTCACTTTTTGTATCACACAGCTTTGTTACAATGCAGCCGTCCATCCCATGTGTTCCCTAATAAGGGTTAATAATGTATAGGGGTGTATATAAAAAATAGCCCTCTCTGTCTTATTAGAGATATCTTTGCCAGAAGCTCAAGGAAGCAAGGTGAAAGGGTCAGTGTAGGACCCGCTTAGGGGGGTCTGCCATGATGTTGGCAGGCAGGCATTCCCTCCAATGGCCATTGGAGCAACTTAATGACCTCCATTTGTCTAAATATACATAGGGATTAAGGAGACAGCGCAGGTAACCTTTTTTTCTTTGGTTTTTCTGTAAAATAATTTATCTGTCCTTTATGTTATATCGATCTGTAGGGAACAAGGGTATGTCCACTTTGGGAAGGCAATCTCTCAGATGCTCAGAATATGTTTGTTCAATCTGCATTCAATCAATTACAGCTCCCATCTATACGGAAGAGATATAGGTATCAATATGTATCAGGAATAAGGTGTAACTGTCACCATATAGAATAGGGATAGGTATTTATGGCACCATTAAGCATCATATAGTGCACGTTGTGATGGGTACCCAATAGCTTATCCATATAAACATTGATATTGATTTTAGCATTAGGCTGAGATGCTCTGAGTGTTTCATTTACAAATTAGTCCTAAGAAAGCCTTGTGTCAGGAAGTCTGAAGACGTATGTTGATATCTTAATTATTGTCTTTGCTGCCTCCGAATGTAATTTGTACGATGTCAACAAAAAGTGAAAAAAGGTTTAAAAAGCAGAAATGAAACCTCAGTGTTACCCTGATAGTAAGTAACTGCCCCAGTCCACGGGCGCGAGTGCTGGACCAGCTTTTTAGATTGGCCTCATTGTAACTAAAACCACAACACGTGGGAATTAAGATTTCGTGAGAAATAGTATCAAGATCTTCTTATTGCAGTGATTTTAAGACGCATTCTGATGTTTTTATTTAAGTTCAAATAAAATGTGTGAAATCCTTGCAAAATGTGAGAAACCTTTAAGGGCCACTTACATTCCAGACAATATATGCACCTGTCAGTTCATCGTTTTTAATATACTTGGTGTTATTATGTAATATTTTACCTATAGTTATCACATCTTAATACTATCAGTATACGAAACTGCTAAATTTGCATCCAATTTAGAGAAACATTGTGTTATTATGTAACCTGCAGAATCTGGACTAATTACTTCCTTTTACTTTACCTGTATTACCGTTTATGGCCACTGGGGCATTTAATATATAATACCCTCTTACATGGATGGACTTCAAGTGGAAACTGAACCGTACCTGCTATTCTAGACTAAGCAGTAGATGGCAGCATGGAGCCCAGCCGGTTGGGATCGACCCCAATCTGTGACTGACTGTCGTTGTCATCATAACAGCTCATTGTATCATTACAGCTCAGTGTATTATTACAGCTTATTGTATCATTACAGCTCCGTGTATTATTACAGCTTTTTGTATTATTACAGCACATTGTATCATTACAGCTCATTGTAATATTACAGTTTGTCGTATTATTACAGCTTATTGTATTATTACAGCTCAGTGTTTTATTACAGCTCAGTGTATTAGTACAACTTCTTGTATTATTACAGCTCATTGTATTATGACAGATTATTGTATTATTACAGCTCATTGTATTATTACAGCTTATTGTATTATTACAGCTTATTCTGTTGCAGTTTATTTTATTATTACAGCTTATTGTATTATTACAGCTCTTTCTATTATTACAGGTCAGTGTATTATTATTAGTGTTATTACAGCTTATTGTGTTACAGCTTATTGAATTATTACAGCTCTTTGTAAATATATGCCTATTCCTGAATGTTTGTTAATCTAACTTAAACCCAAGCTTCAGACATCTTTTTTTTTTTTTTAATTCTTTATTTTTGTTGTGCACATTATGGATAACATCCAACATAATATACCGCTGTGCCCCAACAGCTACAGCGGGGTTGACCAACATAAAGCATTTGTGTGGATAAAACAAATATAATGATAATTGTTTTGCACTTTTTAAAAAAAAAACTGTTTGAACATGTGTGTTGTAGTGTGTTTGGGATGGGTAATGGGATTAGATGTGAGCGTGAGGTTTGTAGTAGTGAGTTGCATGGTACTTTATTTGGAGTGCTGTGAAGTATGGGTCAGGTCGGGCTGTTCTTTGTGGAGCTATCGTCGTATAGCGTGTAGAGTGATTGTTGCTGGTGAGTGGACTGGCCCTTCATAGGTGTTGCCCCTTACCAAGGAGGTGGCGGGGGGGGGGGAGAGCTGGCCGGAGTGTAGCCGGGCACCCGCCTTGCAGTGCCCTGTTTCCTTGTATTGGGGGTCGAGGGGTAGTGGGTCCTCCTTGGAGGCCTCTCGTGTGTGTGATTCTTTATCATATAAGTAATAACTGTGGGCAAC